GAGGTGTCAGTTGCATTCGCCACAATAGTCTTTTAAGACTGTATTATACTTTTTAAGTCAAGAGCCGGCACGAATACAAATAATGCCTGCCACTAAAGGCCATTCAACTCAAGGTGCATGTGTTACTGCCTTTCGATTTTTTGCAATATTTAGTAAACTGGTCAGTGTGCAGTCGTCTATGATAAACAGCGTATTTACACCATCGAGTTTTTCTCGATCTAGGTATACATTCTCATTGGTATAAATCCAGAGCCTTTCGAGATACGTTTTATTTTTGCTTAGCATTGGACAAATGATCACGAACGTCTCGTATGTAAACCGATATTTGGTTTCTAATAGATAAAAAATCCACTGGGTTTTACCACTGCCCGTATTGCCCACGATTAAAGTGCAATGTGGATTTTTATTCCTATTCATTGGTTTTTAAATAAACAAATCTAATAGACTAAACTATTAAAATTACCGTCGCTAACCGTCAACTGGGCGTCCATTTTCAAATATACATACATGTACAACGGACCTGCGGTTTCGGCTTCCTGTTCCATCTGTATTGATATGTCTCCTCCACTGTTAAGTGGTCTACCCGATCCGTGGCCGAATTGTCATCGGAACTTTGGAAATCGAGCCATAGGCCATATTTATCTTTCAGGTAACTACCCATGTCAACACCAGTTAAGTTTAAATCTTTCATACACGCTCTACCGGATTCCGTATCCGAGTCCCCAAAGAACTTGCTAATTTCGGAAAAGTGTCGATATTCGAACAGCCCTTGTGAATATAGCTAATTGGGCTTACCTTCGACAGTTACGCTTGTTTTTCATGATGCGAGTTGTAAAATTGAGGATTTTTTATTACCAGATCTTTGAATAAAATCAAAACGCCTTTCAAGCTTTTAATCATTTGATCTATACTAATGTTCCACAACGTGTCTGATTTATTAACGAGCTGCTTTTTCCACAAGTGAATGCGGTCGAATAAGTAGTACATGTTTCCCTTATGCTTTTGCTGCAAACTTTGGGCCAGGTTTCGATTGGTGACGACTTCATACTCTAACGTTAAATCCAAAATGGAATATTTTGAAATTACAAACACCAACAAAATGGCGATCAGTGATACACCCACTACAAAAAATAAATCTTTATATTTGCCCAATAGATCACGCTTGAGAACCGTTTCATGTCTCATTTCCTTAAGTACCTCTTGGGTCTCTAAAACCATGTCACCCAAGAGATCAATGTCGGCTCGCATGTTGCCTAGCATAGATTCGGTGATGTCGGCGCTGATGTCAGTTGACTGGCCTTTGATTTGCTTGATGTTTTAATTTATATATTTTAAAAATGGCAAGTGCTTTAATGATGGTCGGAGGAGCTACAGTAAACGCATTGACGTTTATGGGGTCCAATTTTTTATGCAGCAGTTTAGCTAAAAATAAAGTCAATGAGGAACGCAAGTGACGTGACCTAGCTTTGGAACAACTAGCACAAGCAAAACAAACCTGGGAATAAAATCGCATGCACATTAGATTTTTTAAATGAACGCATGTGGCATGAGCATGCCAGTCATCAGACATTTGTCAACGTGGACGAGCGGTTGCGTGCTTATTCGGAATTGACCGGTAAAAATGTGACGCCCTTGCCGCCAGAGCCCAAGTTGTTGGACTTTTATGAACCTTCTGAAGATCAAAAAATTCGTGAATTGGTGTGGATTCTTGAGGGAACCACATTAGTTGGTTTTTTGGCGTATTGGTATAGTTAACTTTATTTTAAAATGGAGAACGAATTTTCAAGGTTGTTTGACAGGGCTATTGGAAAGGTGAAAGCGCCATGGATAATTCACATGAAAAGACGGGCGCGGATAAAACAGTTACACGAAATTGGCTGAAGAAAAAAGCAATTTGACAAATTTATTTACAAGTCAGTGATCTTTCCCTGGATGGTCGCCCCATGCTGCTCCTCAGATAAGTAGTTCATGATGTTAGCTGCGCTGATGTAGATTCCATCCGTCATGTTGCTCCAAGTGCAAATGAAGTGTTGCACTTGGGTCATCATGCTGATGCACTGCCGGACAGTCAGTTGCTGTGTCTGGGCCCTCGCTGCTTCCATTGCCTCGGCCTCCTCAAAGTCATTTCCATCGTTACTGGCTCTCTCTGATGTTATCTCGGCAACAATCTCCTCCTCACTTGGCTCATCTGTCACCTGAAGATCCATGTCAACTGATGCATAATCTTGAAATGTGACTGGCAGGTTGATGTGTTGGGTAAGACGTTCCCAGATATTATCAGGGCGGCCATGTTGGTCTTGATCTTGGTCTTGATCTTGGTCTTGCGCTTGGTCTTGATCTTGGTGTGGTGGTGGTGATCTTGGTGTGGTGTCAATGAAGCCTGCTTTCCGGAAGCAGTTTGCAATGCAGTCTTGCTCGAAGGCTCCCCACGCTGTGTGTACCATGTTGATGGTCTCCAATATGTTGACGGGCTGAGGTGTTTCCCCGGCATCGTAGGCAGACAGAAGAGTCTGTGGCAGCTTGCGACGGTAATGAACCTTCATGTTCCTTATTACACCTTGGTCCATAGGTTGGAGTTGTGATGTTGTGTTTGGTGGCAAGAACTGTAGAGTGATGTACTTCAGGTGGGGCACTTTCGGATGTGCAGCGCAGTTGTCAACAAAGAGAAGAACTTTCCGCTTCTGCCTAGTGAACTTCTTGTCAAGATGGCAAACCCACTGATTGAGAAGATCGGATACCATCCACAACTTCCGGTTGGCCCGGTAGCTGAGCGGTAGATAAGCTACATTCTTGAAGCACCGAGGTTTGTTGAACTTGGTTTCAATTTCTCTGACCCATCCATGTTGGCACAAAGCAGGACGGTGACACGCTCGTTGCTTTGCTTTCCTCCATGGCATTGCTCTCCCTCGACGTTGAAAACATCTCTTGGTGCGAAACCATGCAAAATACCGGACATGGTTTCTTTTAGCCAGTGTGGGATGGTGTCTTGATCGATGCTTTTGCTCTCCCCGCAGATCTGCTTATGCAAAATGCCGTGGCGCTCCTTGAAGCGGGACAGCCACCCAGAACTTGCCTAGAATGCCCCATCATCTGGGACAGCTGATCAGCCTTCTCTCACAACATTGGGCCGCTGACGGGAAGATTCTTGGCTTGGGTACCTCGAAATTAGCGGAGTAGGACCTCCTCAACATCCTCGAAAGTGGGAGTGCGAAATCTCTTTCGTGAAGGTTCAAACTTTGAAGATTCAAAGTTTGATGTGATTGTTTCTCGGTTCTTGAGGATTGTTGCCAGTGTACTTAAAACGATCCCGTACTGGCGTGCAATATCAGCCCTCTTGCGTCCAGAATCGACAGCCCTGATGATTTCCATCTTGGTCTCGATGGAATGCCCCTTTCGCTTATTCTTGATAACAGAAGCCATTGCAGTGTAATCTTGACAGTTGTCTTGACGGAGTACGATAAACGTATGAGCTCTGAATAAAACCCCTCCCTTTTTATATTGCCCAGCTCAGATTGACATGCAACAAATCACAGTGTGATTTATTTGTGTATTTAGTTTTAATAGCCAGAAATCAACATAGGAAGCAATAAGGCAAGTGATCTGGCGGCAACACTAAGAGCTACTGCTTAAAATATCAACCCTTTTTTTCTGCGCGCCCCCATTGTCCGTTTGCACTGTATCACCATCTACATATTCAGTTGGGTAAAGATTGGCGAGATGAAACAGGGTTATGTTCTGTGCGCCCCTGTTGTCCATTTGCAGGAATAAAAAAGAAACCTGGCCCGTGAGAGCCACACTTGTGAGTCTATTCACAGTGCACAGTTGGGAAATCGTAGGAGGGGATTAGCGACAATTAACAATGCACTGTATCACCATCCATTCAATTGATTAAAGATCGGCAAGATGAAACAACGTTACGTTGAAGTTCTTACAAAGGTGCATTGATAAGGTGTCGACAGACTGGGAAAACGTATGATGCCCGAATCGGGACAAAAGGTTTGTCATTGACAGCTGCAAATGGGTTGGGAACAATACTTTTGCTTGAATGGGGTCGGCGCAATTCGTCGTTGTAGGCGTGCACGTGCACATAATGACCAAATATTTCTCCATAGTAATGAACACAAATTGTTTGGGACTGGAAGAATACACTTGTTGCATCCGGGTTATCGTTATGACCGAGCTCGTTATAATGAGAGCCGACTGTACCTGCTCCTGGATACGTACATGTACCCAGGCCGAGTACTTTACAACCAAATTATATCTATATCTACCTATTATAGCTATATCTACCCTGGGATCGGGTAAACCGTAAACTTATAAATATGCTTTGACCATAGTTGACGTGGGTTTGAGATTTGAAGAGGCTGAGCCATTGAACAGTAAAACAGCTGAACAAGCGTCAGAAGCCATAAAAAGGATTTACAAAAGGTCGCCTTTGACTTTGCCTAAATTTGCTGTGGTAGACTTGGGGGCAGAATTTAAAGGTGAGTTTAAAAAGATATTTACCAAAAACAAGGTTGAAATACAAGTGGGTGAACCCAGCGTACCAGTACATAGATCCCCGGGAATCGTTAAAAGGTTCAATAGGACTTTAGCCGAACGGCTGTTTGGGCATCAGTATGCTCAAGAAATGTTAAACGTCAGTACAAGAAACGCAAAATGGGTCAAACGTTTGCCACAAGTTATAAAAGCATTAAATGAAGAAAATGCTAGGCTAATTGATAAAAAGCCGGCTCACGCTATCAAGTTAGACCATGTAAAGAAGCGACGGCTGCACCAGTCCCCAAAAGATGAAAGACAGAACTTCCTTCAGACGCGGTCATTAGGTACCTATATTACTCAGCAGAGCAAGAATACGGTACCGTTAGAAGGGCGACTGATCCGATTTGGAGCATGGATGTTTATCAAATTGAAAAAAGCACGAGTCAATTTAAACCAGTCTGAGGTACAAAAAGTAAATACGGGTCCGACTTTATACTTTTTACTCGGTCAGAAAAGAGCTTCAAGTGGTGCCTGCAGATACCGAATTGCCGCCTTCTTGAGTAGTTAGATAATGCCTGTAGGCTAAAGTTTTAACCCCATTTGATAAAATGTAACGCTTCGTATCTAAAATTAAAATGGTGTGTCCGTTCGAATAAACAATTTTTATACGCGGCATGTGTCATAAGTTTTTGAGTTACCGTTTTTGTCACTCCTTTTGCCTTCTTTAAATTTTGATCCTGTTATTACGAGGGCCGGCGGACATTCACAATTCTGCCGTTATAGCCGGAGTGTCGTTAAAACCAGAGGGCAATTTTTCACACTCATTTTGCACAAGTTTATAGCCACGTACATGTTTGTTGGAATCATGTATAGGTACACCAATACCGCACACCGAACACATGAAAAGACGATGTTATGTGTCTCTTATTGATGCTGAATTTTTATCTAATGTTGATGAATACAATGATATAAATAAAGTACATTTAAAAGTCAAATATTTGACAACCTGGATCAGAAGAAGCCGAGAAGAACAGCCGAGTGGAAAGAAACATTCAAGTCCGTGCCGCTAAGTACATGTACATCACACGTCCTGAGTGTATGTTTTGCTTTCGTCATGAATTGGCTAACACCAGTCAAAGAGGGCGGCATTATTACCAGTACCGGTATGTCCGGGGGCGCAATGTCATTGATTAAAGATCGGCCAGATGAAACAACATTACGTTGAAGTTCTCACAAAGGTGCATTGATAAGGTGTTGACAGACTGGGAAAACGTATGATGCCCGAATCGGGACAAAAGGTTTGTACATTCAATCGTGGACACTGGTTCTTAGACAAGTCTTGGCTTGCCATCCTGCCAAAACTAACTGTAGGCCTACATGTAGTTCGTAAATAATGGGATAGCCTACAAATGAGATGCCGTGTCATTTACATTCAATCGTGGATACTAATGTCCATGAATAAATGTGAAAATGACACTCATGTGTATGATACATGTAGTTCACGATTGAATGTGACTGGCAAGCCTGTCACGTGTACGTACCATTATTTACAAACGTTTTTTTGTAAAATGTCAACCAGGACTTGTCTGCACTGAAACACTAATGTCCACGATTGAAGGTAAAATGTTAATACGTCAACTGTGCATTCCAGTGTCCACGATTGAATGTGAATGGAAAGGCATCACTATTGTATGTAGAATGACCATTAATAAGTTGACTGTTTGCTATGGCAACGACAACCTACTTTTTTGGGCTACCAGCCACTGTCCTGATTTGTATGTAAGTTGTCAGTTAATACACAGATGGCCGCGGTTGCATGTAAAATTTACTGTACTGAAAACAGCCCAAATTATGTAATAGGAATTTTTTTTCAGTGCCATATATTCCAAGATAATCTGATTATTAGATTAGATTAATTTATTGCTATTTGCATATAGTAGATACACAATAGAAATTGAAATGGCTCTCGTGCTAAAAAATACAGTAAAAAAGCATATTAAGAACATCAAGTATCACGTACCACAACATCACCATCCACCACACTAAATATATAGATAATGATCCACCAAATTACAGTTCACCATTAACATATTCCTTAAAAACCTCTACATAAAAATATCAGAATAAAGACACTAAATATGAAGACAAATAAAATACATGTATACAAATAAATAAAGTGAGGAATCATGACATACAACAACCGACTACTTGAAATCATTCCATCCCATTCAGTGCCTTTACTGCAGTTGGATAGAAACTTCTCCTGAACCTTTCTGTCTTACATTTAATAACTCTGTACCGTTTTCCTGACCTCAACTCAAAAAACTCATTTGCTGGATGATAGTCATCACGTCTTATGCTACTTGTCTTTCTCTTTAATCTCATGGCATATATTTCAGATACTGAAGGAAGATCTTTGCCAACAATACGAGCAGCTGTTCTAACAGCTCTCTCCAATGCCTCCCGTTCAGCAAAAGTCGTGTTACCATACATTATACATGATTGCTTGTAGATCACCCCCTTGTATTCAATTATGAAGCTGTCCTCTGTTGGCCAGACCTACACGTGGTTTGCAATTGGAGGCGAGTTCGCATACGGGTGTGTGGATGAATGTATGTTTTCAGTACCGTAATTTAGTATCACGTACATGTAAATGTTTCGTACTACACTCTTGAGTCGTGATGTGATATGCAAGTGGTTGCCATCCTTGTTTTGTCCTTTGGGGCACATGATCAGTTATTGAATTGGCAGGATAATAATTGAGAATGAATTTGGTGGGATCGACCATGGAGGTAGAAATAAATAAAACCAGCGTAAACCAAAGCCATTGAATTAGTGCAAGGAATCATAATGTACATAGGCAATACATGTGTAAGTGTAGCTGGCAAAATGACGACTTACAACACAAGTCGGCATTTGCGTTAAATCGCCATAAGTTTTTGAGTCCCGAGAGAGTCGACTTTAATAGCCGGAGTTTACTGTAATTCTACCTCTCTATAAAGGACAGCCTGTAGTAGTTATCGCCCAATCACTTTGCTTTCAATTCCTGGCAAGGTGTTTGCACTTATTCTGCTAGCCAGAATTCGTCCACTACTTGTTTCCCTGCCGAGACCACAGCAGTCAGGTTTCACTCCCAGCCATTCCACCTCTAACGCATATTCATGCGTGACATCGAGTTGAACTCCATCATGAGTACAATCGCCCGCTTAATGTCGCCTCCGTAGACATCAAGGCTGCCTTTAAATCTGTTGACAAAAACCAGCTCTGGGATATCCTCTCCTCAAAGGGAATTCAACATACCATTTTGAATTTGATCAAAGCTCTGCACTCTGACACCAAAGCCAAGGTCAGGATAGGCAATCACTTATCTCCCTCCTTCTCAACTTCCTCAAGAGTCCGGTAGGGTTGTGTGCTA